GCCGCCGCCCCGGGCGGCTCGCGCGGGAAGGAACCGAGCCTGGAGCATCCACGGAGGCCGGGCCGAGTCGCTTACCCAGACGCCGCCGCGGCGGCCAGCGGACCTGCCATGCGGGAGGGGCAGCTCCCGCGCCGCCAACGTCACGCGGCGGCGCCGGCTCACGCACCCCATGGGCCGTTCTCGCGCGGCTTCCCGCGCCGGCCGCCCCGTGACGGGCCCACGTGACTGCGCGCCGGGTAGCCGCGAACGAGGGGCGCCGGGGCCGGAGTGTGCGTGCTTACGTGCCAGCTCGCCCGCCCGCCCGCCCGCTCCAGTGGCCAGGAGGGGGTCGGCCCGCGCTCGGCGCCTCCGCCACAGTCCCCAGTCGTGACTCTGTAGGCGGAAGCGTGGGGGCGAGCCTGAGCGTTACAGGCTGCCCACACGCCCGCGTGACCCGGGGACTTTCCCCAGGCTGTGCAAAATCATGGGCGCCCCCTCAGAGCGGGAGTGGGGCTGGGGAAAGACGCGCCCGCGTGTCCGAGGGAAGAGTGATGAGGGCGCGGGGCCAGGGACGCCAAGCCGCGGGAGCCTGGGCGGGGAGGCGGGCTGGGCGGGGTGGGGCATGGCGGGGGAAGTGACTCAAAGCCGGAGGCCGACGGGCCGGTGGAAAGCAGGGTGAGGGGAGCGTGGGGAACGGGCGACCCCGGACGGACTGGCCAGGTCCGGGACCGGGCGAGGGTGCCGGGACGCCCGGGAAGCGCCGCGAGGGCGGGCCCAGCTGCTGGTCCCCCCGGGCAGGGGTCTGACTGCAGACGGAGGGGGAAAGCCGCATCCAGCCCTCGGGGAGTCGGGTGGAGCCCAGTCCCAGGCAGCTGTGCAAACGGGAGGAGGAGGTCCCACGCCTCCCCGGGGGAGAGGGGCAGGAGGGGTGGTCCACTGCGGCCGCGCCGGCCCCCGCGGTGCGGGTTGCGCCAGTCTCCTCCGCGCCCGACGCAGAAACTTGTTGCAACAAACAGGCGACCGCGGGTGCCCCTAGCAGCCAGCGGCGGAGTGGGTGGGCGGGCGAGAGGGAGGGGAAGGCTGGCGGACGCCGCGGCGAACTGGTGGGCAGACCCGGAGTCGCCGCGTAAGCGGGGCCGGCTCAGTGCGGTGCGGCAGGCGCGGCTGTGCGGCAGCGGAAGTCCTTTGTTGCAGCACAGTCCCCGGCGGAGCCAGAACCTCGCCGCGCAGCCCAGCCCGAGCGCCGCGCTTCGCCGCCACTGCAGCTCGCGGCCCTTTCGCCTCCCGCCCACCTTTCGCGTGGCTTCTTGGCCTTAAACTCCCGAAAACCTCCGCACCCCCGGGTCCCGCGGCGGCCGGTGAGTATTTGCCAGCTGTGGGACAATTTGCGCAACTTTGGCCCGCGCCTCTGGGCGGCGGGCGCTGGGCCTTGGTCGAAGTGCGGGGTCGGACGGC